GAGAGAGGAGGGAGGGATTTTGAGGGGAGAAGGGAGATGGCATTCCTTATTTTTTTTTTTTGTGGGAGGGAGGGAGGGAGGGAGGGAAGGAGATGGCGTTCTTTTTTCCTTAGTTTGAGGGAGGGAGGTAGGTAGGGAGGGAGATGGTGTTCCTTTTTTTCTTCTTTTTGCTATTACAATTATGAACAAGCAAACAATACAAGTCTATCCATCTATCGTTTGGATAACCAATGATGTGTAGTCAGGGATTACAGTTGTTTCTTCTATTTGCTTTTCTGCTATGAACCTAATGTTACCCCAGAAATGGATTGGTTAGTTTTGCATTACTTATTGTTAGACCAACTTTCCAGTATAGCAAGAATCTTTGACCAAACTTACCCTATCTAACTTGATTGTTCCATTTTTGACTTCATCCTAACTCCTTACCATTTGAGTGTTATCATTTTGAACATTGAACCACACGGTTTTATCATTTTGAGCAACCCAACTATTTCTTACTCGGCTGGAAATAACTGTGCTATTTTTTAGCATCATGCATCAGGCATTTAATTCATTCATAATCGTGATTTCAAAGTAAGAATATCCAACTTTTGTTCTTATGTCATACAATCATTTTCCTGAAAGTATGGTTGCTTCTTCTATTCCGTTTATTCCTTTGGAAACATCTAGCAGTTTTGCCTTTTATTCTTCTTGAAATGATCAGTCATTGTTGCTTATCTAGTATAAATTTCTGGGTGCAGATGTTCGATTACCAATATCACATGGGCCTTCTTATTTTAGAAAAAAAGGAGTGGACATCCAAGTATGAGCAAATTAAAGCTTCTGCTGATTCTGCTGAAGATAAGTATAAACGTGATCAGGCTGCACTGTTATCTGCTCTGGCTGAAGCAGAGCAGCGTGAAGAGAATCTGCAAAGGGCTTTAGGCGTCGAGAAAGAATGTGTTGCAAGTGTAAGATTATTTGGCTAGATATTTTATATCTCAATAATTAAAAATTCTCTCTTCTGGTTTCCTCTAACAATTGTTTCTGGGCCATAATGTTTTTTTTGATGGTTTTCTTATATATGGTGTATGCTTTATATGTGTTTTTTCGGTTGCAGTTTGCACGTTTATATCCATGCATGCATATAATCTCATTTTTGGTTTCTTTGAACTTCCTAATTGATAATGGTTGTTCGGTAGACACTGTGCATATCGTTTTGAGCAATTAAACTTATTTATAATTTTCATGGTACTACTCAAAGAAGGAATGTCATATCTTCCTTCAGATTGTGAGCTGGAGCAGTTTGGTCTATTACATCTTAGGACTTATTAATAAAATGGCGTGAGTGTTAAGAAGATTCCTGCTGCAGCTTCCCACTCAATGGAAGGTAGAATTTGGATGCCAAGTGGATCGTGTAGGCCTATATCTTAGAACTCCCTTTATTTTTTATTCTTGATCTTGTGTTTCATCCTACTAATGAATATATATATATATATATATATATATATATATATATATATATATATATGGAGAGAGAGAGAGAGAGCAAAAAAAATCTAGTGTCTCCATTCTTCGGAAGGTTCTATAGCAGCTGTCACTTCTTCGAAATTCTAGGACATCAAGAACATTAATCATATGGAATGGAGAGAAGAGAGAGCAAGAAATGTTGACTAATACAACTTCTTGGTCCATTTTGGAATTGTGATTGAGATTAGTTATTGTATATTGACATCCTAGAAAAGTCAGGATATTGAAATAACAAAGCATATTTCTTGTGAGAAGATTAATGTGTATCTTCACAGATGGTAGACATTACACATTTCATGTAACTTTGCTAATCACTGGTCAAACTCGATACGGGAAAAGCTTTTGATCACATTGATTGGGCCTTCTTAGATGAGGAGCCCCTCAGGTTGGGTTTTAGAGCAAATGGAGGTCGTAGATACAGGGTTGTATGATTGGATCCAATGTTTGAGAATTTGGATTCAGCTGCCTTGGTTGGCACCTAGTTTCCTAGGCGGCCTAAGATAGAGGAGGGGGTTCTGGTTTTGGGCCTTGAAGAGAGAGGAGAGGAAGACAATTCTGGCATGACATCTTGACGGCTGCAACTAGGTGTACTTGAGGGTTGTTGGACTGAGCTGGACGTAGCAGGGTTTTGTCATTTCAAAGTCCCTCGGGTCCCAGAGTTTGATTAACGGACTGTGTCCTTGGAAAGTCAGTGAGAAAATTCTACAGAAGATGGAGAGGAGAGACAAAGGCACTTATAGGTTGGGGCAGAGAAAAAAAGAAGGGGTTAGAAAGAGAGAGATAGATGGATGATATGGACATGTTTTGCACAGCAAGGTTCACAACTATACTCATGTAAATCTTTCCTCTCTTTAATTTAATTCCTTTTCCAACCATATTTTGTCAAGAATCAACATAAATTGGAAAAATCTCCCTTCAACATCTATATGGGGCAGGGATGTAAGTGCTAGGGTTTACTCTCAAATGTAAAATTCGTGGGATTGAGTTGATAGGTAGAGTGAACATTTTCCCAAAAAGATAAAAGGGAGTGATATGCACAACTGTCAAGACTCCCTTCAAAATTCGAAACTCTTGGGATGGAGGCATGTGATAGGTGGCAGCTATAGCAGACTGGAAAAAAAACAAAAGTGTACACAACGACTTGATAAAAAAACCTCATTCTTCTTCAAGGGCTGGCCAAGGCACCCTCTTAAGCGGTGCCTTGGCGGAAAATGTCAATACCCTTTTTATGAGAGCATTAGGTGCCCTCCTAGTGCCTGGTGCAGTATAGGGTCTTGGCCCCCTAGATTGCGAGCTGCCTGAATATTTTAGCATTGGCTTTTTCCCATATTCTCACTTCTCAACCCTTATCAATGGCATTTCCAAAGGCGATATTCCATCCTCCAGGTTTCTGAGGCAGGGGTACCATCTGGCCCCTCCTGTTCGCTGTTATTGCCAAGGTTTTCAGTCACTCTACTGATGGGATGTTTCAATAGAGACAACTAAGTGGTTTCAATCCGTGCAACATTGGGCTCGTTATCTAACATCTGTGACATGCTGTTGACACCCATGTATCCTGCAATACAAAACCCCCCAACAAGTCGACACCTTATGGGTGTACGTAAGATGTTCCGAAGTTTGCACCTTCATGAAAATTATTTGGGAAAGTCCAAGATCATGGGGGTAGCACTTGATAACAAAACCACTTGTGACCTGGTCTATAGATTTGACTGCAGAGTTGATTCCCTGCCATCTAAGCGTCTGGATTTTAGGTAAATGATGCAGGGAAATGATGGAGGGAAAAGGTATATTTATTTTTTAATTTCTATTCAATTTTAAAGGGTGTATACTTTGATTTTAGTCTTAGGATTTATTTTTAGGATTTTTAATTTTTTAGGAATTCTAGGGTTTTATAGTTTTTTATTTATTGCATCAGTACTATTCACAAGTACTATTCACGAGTACTGTTCACAAGTGTAAAATTGTTATTACTAATTTTAAGTTTTAAGTTAGCATATATAGGTCATTTTAATCATTATATAGACATTTGTAATGTTTTTGAAGCTGGAATTATAATATATAAGAGGTGTGTGGGGCCTTGAGAGGGTTAATTCCACATGATGGTGAAAAAGTAAAAAACTTGGGCTTTTGGAACCCTAGCTTGGGATATGGAGAAGAAACCCTAAGGTTTGTTTCAATTGTGATTGCGTCTGGCTTTGCTCCTTGTTGTTTTCATTGTTCCCCCAAATTTCCCTTCATGGAAGGTACAGTTGCATTGTACGAGTTACTGTAGCACCAATTGTTTTGGTGCCTTAAGTCAACAATAAAGCGGGGAAGTTACCGTGGGGGTCTAGGGTTTGCTGATTTTAGCCAAATTTTTGCGAAAACAACTTAGATCTTGCTCATTTCAACAGTTTTTGTTGATTATTTGCCTAGGGTTTGTGATTTCGGCGATCCCATTGGAATCAGAGAAGTGTAGTGAAAGCATGGTCGATTCACAATCTGCAAATTGTAGTCCTGATTCCTCAATTGTACATATCAGGCTCCGTTTCTTGAGGAAATATTTTTACCACGAATAATCTTTGAGCCAACAAATAAGAAGAAGGTTGAAGAAGGTGGTTTTGACGCTGAATTCATCTTAGCACACTTCAAAACTCAAGGACGCGTTTTCTCTATCCAAAAGAGAATGATGGAGGGCAAAATTATACTTTTTTTTTAATTTCTATTCAATTTTATAAGATGTATACTTTGATTTTAATTTTCAGATTTATTTTTAGTTTTTTAGGAATTCTAGGGTTTTTATAGTTTTTTTATTTATTTCATGAGTACTATTCACAAGTATTATTTACGAGTACTGTTTATGGGTACTGTTCACAAGGGTAAGCTTCATTACTAATTTAAGTTTAAGTTAAAATATATAGGTCACATTAATCATTGTATAGATATTTGTAATGTCTTTGAACATTGAATTATAATATATAAGAGGTATGTGTAGTCTTGAGAGGGTAAATTCCACATGATTTTTAGAAATTGAAAAAGCGAAAAGCTTAGGCTTTTGGAACCTTAGCTTGGGGTATGGAGAAGAAACCCTAGGTTTACAGGATAGATAAAGTGTTAGGCTAAGGCAAGGGTTGGAAACCTAGGGTTTCTTCTCCATGCTCCAAGCTAGGGCTCCAAAACCTAAGCTTTTTTAAAAATCATGTGGAATTGACCCTCTCAGGGCCCCACACACCTCTTATATATTATAATTCAATGTTCAAAGACATTATAAGTGTCTATACAATGATTAAAATGACCCATATATCCTAACTTACACTTAAATTTAACTATGACAGTTTTACCCCTTCGAATAGTACCCGTGAACAATATTCATGAATAGTGCTCATGAAATAAATAAAAAAACTATAAAAGTCTAGAACTCCTAAAAAACTAAAAAATAAATCCTAAACTAAAATCAAAGTATACATCCTTTAAAATTGAATAGAAATTAAAAAATAAGTATAATTTTGTCCTCCACTAGTAAACCACATAAATAACTGTGTGATGCGACTGTAGAAAGATATGACTGGATGTTGTCTGTGGGAAAAGCAGATTCCTATACTTCAGAGGCACAACTCACTCATCAAGGTAACCTGTCAAGTGTACCAGTTTATCAGATGTCATTGTTTCATAGCCTCTCGGCTCGAGAAGCTGATGAGGAACTTCTTGTGGTCTAGGGCTGGCCATACAAGTTTGATATTGTTGTATGGGACAAGGTGAGTAAGCCAAAACAGAGGTTAGCCTGGGTATTCAGAGTCTCATGTACTGCAGTGTTGTATTTTTGGCCAATTGGTGGTGGTGAATCACTAGCTAGGAGAGGCAGTTGTGCCAGCTTTTTGTCCAGCACTCTTATAGGCTTGATGAGTCAGGTTGTTTCCCTGAGGGCGTTGCCCACGGTAGGCCTTCTGGTGTTAGGCGTTCCCCTGTGGTTACGACAATTTCACAGAATTGTGCGGTTTAGTGTCAGATTTGGCAATAAAGTTAGATTATGGAGCGATCTATGGATTGAGGAATCCACGTTACAAGGGTGATACCTTGACCTATACTGTCTGGGAACCATGGTCACCCAATCTTTTGAGGTATTTGGTAGGAATAGAGTTTGGAACTGCACATTCAGGAGGTCCCTTCGAGACCTGGAGTTCCCAGGGTTCTCTGCCTTCTCAAATATTCTCCATTCGTATCTCCTTCAGTCTGGTGTGACAAGCTTGTTTGGGCCCCAGCAAGCTCTGGCCAATTTTCTCTCTTCCTTCTACCAGGCTTTACAGATTGCACCAACACCCCCCAGTCAGTTGTTCGCGAACCAAGCCTGCTAAAGCCTATCCCACCCAATATCTTGTCTTTCAACTAACCACACTTTCCTGAAAAGCACTTGCATGGGATCAGCTCCAAAAAAGAGGTGAATTTCCCAAATGGTGCATCATGTGTGAAGCCACCGATGAAACCAACGGCCATCTGTTCCTTCAATGTGCAGACATGGGGTCCTTGTGGTCTGGTCTTCTTCAATCTTTTGACTAGAACTGGGTCATGCCCCAGTTGATCAAGCAACTGTTTTGTGCCTTCTATCTCCTCCACAGCCATTCACTGGACTGTTGTTGTGGCTTGACTCAGGTTCAGATGTTTAGAAAGGAACATCCACATTTTTGAAGGAAAGGATGCCTCCATCAAGAACCTGATTTTCATTTTGTGAGTGAAGGATACCAAAGCATTCAAGGCTAATGCTACACCTGATGTTGATAATAACTGGACGGCAAGATTATAAGCCAGACCATGTTCCATATCAAGATCCTCCCTTTGGAGACTGCCTGTTTGAGGGTGCATCAAGCTTAACGTTGATGGTCACTCCCTCGGGAACCGTGGTGCTGTGGGTTTCTGGGAATATTCAACTCTCAGGGGATACCCTTTCTGTCCTTCTTGGGATATGTTAGCATTATCAACTCAACAACTGCAGAGACAATCCCTCTCCTTGAAGTGCTTAAGAGCTTTGAGCCTTCATGGGGCAACTCTCTCGTGACATGGAGATTCAAAGAATGTCATTTCGTGCCTCAAAGTCCACTCAGTGCTCGTGGCACCTGGAACATCTGTTTGATAATATTTTTAACCTTTGCATGCATATACGAGTCTCATTTCGTCATACCTGGTGGGAGGCCAATGCCATCACTGATGTGCTAGCTAAAGATGGTGGTGCAAATGGGAATGCAAGGTACAACTAGCAGCATTTTAAGCCTGCTCCTCTTTCTGGTTTTTTCCCTTTTTTTGGTTGTTTTCTTCGATGTACATCTTTGGCTTTACCCGAGCTTCCGACATCTGGGATGCCTCTTTTTGTGCCTTGTACATTTTACTTTTGTATAAAAAAACAAAACATCAATTTTTTCTTTTCCTTTGTTTTTAAAAGCAAGTCATTGAATATACATCAGTCATAACCACAAGAATGATGGTTGCACATAACCATCTGACATAATGCTCAAATAGCTCCTGATTTTTGGTGGTAATGGACCAAGTTGTGAAATGACTCAATGAGAGGGCACATGGCGTACATTTATTTCACATAGCTTAGGAGACAAATCTTGTAAACCATGGGTCTGATTGGGTATTTGTTGTTTTTGAATAACTAAGTTTGTTTCCTCCATTAAAAAATGAGAAAAAGTTCAGTCGCTCCTTTTATCTGGTAAAATGAGCAGAGTGTAACCAGTGGAATCAACATTGCAGGTTTCTGCTATCAGGAAATTTCCTTGCAGTTGGAGTTCCTTTTAGATATATGGCTTGGTTTGATGACTTTTTTCTGTCCTGTGGTGAGATACTCTCATGTCCAGGGATGCCTTTGGAAGCTGGCATGGTTCATTAATGTAGACTCCATGAAGTTGTTTTATATGCTTGACTTATATCAATGTAACATGGAAGTAGTGTTTTTAAATACTGAATCAGCAATTGAACTGGCCCTTGACTGTTTTGGTCTGGAGCGGTGGGATCGGGCGAAACAATAATAAAATAAGAAAAAGGGTAGAAATTGGGCGATCCAGAGGTTCGTAGACCTGGATTGCACACCACTGGACCCAATCCGAATCGCGCGATTCCCATTTGGATTTTTGGGTTTATTGCATGGAAGTCTTACTTGCACTGTGCAGATGATAATGCCTTTCTATGTAAAATTGCTTTATGCTTTATCGTTCATCAATCGGGTCGGGGGTCAAAACGAACTGGGGTCGGGTCCGGGTCCACCATGGAACCTATTGGGTCATGTCAGGTCCCGGTTGAACCAACCGCTAAAAAATATATAAAAAAATAAATTGAAATTTTTATTTATTAATTTCTACACCCGTGTCCGGATCCTAATGACTTGGACCCATCGCCTGTTGGGATTGGGTTCGACCAGGACCTTACCCAAACCATTGCCATCCCTATCTTTTCTAGCAGTTTAAATATATTTTATTTGAGAAGGGGCATCCATACGCTGAGGCAGAGATTCCCAGGACAAAAATCTCAATTATTGATATGTGGACCTTAAAGTGTGTATCTTATCTCTCTCTCTCTCTCTCTCTCTCTCTCTCACACACACACACACACACACACACACACACACACACAC